AAAAAATCTAAGCCATCTGAATAATTTATTTGCTTATATTTCAGTGGAAATAAAACCTTGTTGGCACATTCTTCTTTGATCTTCTCCCTAATTGCTCTGATATGTCTGTTCGTTAATACAAGAGGGCTTCATTCAAAAAATTCATGGGAAAAGTTCATTGTCTTTCAATTCTGTTTTTCTATGAACTTTTTGGTGTGTTCAGTAGATTTGAGGCACCATGATGTTTGGTGGTTCCCCTTGAGTAAATTATGCATGCTGCAACATCTGCCTTTGACTAAGTAGCAATAAGAAAGCTCTCCCCATGGAAGGGAGTGACTAATGATTAGCACGAGAACTATCTGTGACAGCAGAATCTGCAAACATGATAGTGACATCTGTCAAAGGCGTTCCAGCAGAGCACTGACAGCCCAGACCATTTTTCAGCTCCTAATCGAAATCTTATAACATGTAACTTCTGTTTGTAATATGTTTAGTAACCAATCTTTCCCTCCCTCTTCCCTGCAGAACTCAGTTACCATCTGCAAAAAAATATCTTGCCCCATTATGCCCTGTTCTAACGCCACAGTGCCTGATGGAGAATGTTGCCCACGGTGTTGGCGTAAGTTCCTGAAACTGCATAATTATTCTTCAGTGCTTAGGTCGGGTCTGCATACATCCTAGACAGCTGTGTTTTCATCCCATTTATTGCTTCAGCAACTGGTTAACTGACATCTTATCTGCTGTAGGGAGCCCAACACTCCCATCAGGACTTAATCTAATTCCTCAACTGCATGATAGTACCGACAATTCTGATCTTGGTATAGCTTGATTCTGATGTTAAACAGAGATGAGTATGTGGCAACAATAGCTCAGACTGGACTGTTTGTAGGACTTGGCCTTAGAGGCACAGAGCTAAGGAGAGCTGCTCACTAAAGAAATAGATAATTGTTTGATGTGAGCACTGAACTTGAATGGGGCCTTTTAAGTAGTTATCTCTATTTTATCTGCAGAATAGGAGGCCTAACAGAATAAGAGCAGTTTGAGTTCTGGGACACTAAAAGAAATAAGGCACGATATTGTGTTATGAAACCTTATCTCTGGTTTTTGTCTGTATGAATCACTTTGCTAAGACAGTGTTTAATGTAATAGGTATGTCTTAAAAATGATTCATCACAACTAAGGGGGTGGAGGAATGGAAAGTAGCATTTGCCCTATATACACACATACACACAGGCCTCAAGGACCAGTCCCATCCAGGGACTATGTTAGCGATATTGGCACTGTAATGATCATTTGTATATATCTATGAGGGGGACTTTAAAAACTTCATGTAAAAATCTCATCTCTTAATTCTATTTCTCCATAAACTTTTTGAAGCCCCCCTCATATTTTTGCTCAACATCCACTTAAGGTCTGGGTTAAAAGGAAAAAGTTCTGAACTTGAATCAGGACTATCTGGGAAAACTTCCAACTGATGGCAAAGGAAAACAAGTACTCTGTCTTCTGTTTGGTACAACTCACTGTGATTATAGTCATGGTGCCTGGGCAGATGGCAAACAAACACATTCTCTTCTTGTGAAAATATGTGCAGAGAAAGACCAAATTGCTAGGGTAAGAGGAGTAACAAATTGATTAACCTCATGACCTAATTGGAGTTAGAGGCAACAGCCACTAAGCAGCCTTCAAGCTCATCTGTCAAACACATGCTCTGAGGCTCCTCTGAAGGGCTGAAGGAATTCTGTAAGCTGCCATACTCCTGAAAGCCTGAAACTAGAAATACCTGCCCAGATTTCTCAAACTGGTAAAGGGCCACTCAACCTGAAATGTTGCTAGAGGAGAGCAGTGGGAGCAAATAAGAGCATTGTTAAGAAGGTTAGCTCTACTGATCCAGGCAAAACATCCCATCATCCCAGAGCTGTCAGTGTAATGACGTGGGGTAAACTCTTTGACTTTTGGGCTAAGAACTATATTTTCACCCTCTGGCAAAAGTCCTAAACAGAGAAGTCTCAAAAATAGCCTAGCCTGTCTTAGTGACTGTGCACTAAATGGCCTGTTTCCTCTGCAGCCAGCGACTCTGCAGATGATGGCTGGTCACCGTGGTCTGAGTGGACCTCCTGTTCTGTGACATGTGGCAATGGGATTCAGCAGCGTGGCCGCTCCTGTGATAGCCTCAACAACCGATGTGAGGGCTCTTCAGTCCAGACTCGAACCTGCCACATTCAGGAATGTGACAAGAGATGTAAGCATCTTGGTCCTCATTGACATCATTCTAGCATAGAGGTTACAAGGGCAGGTTATAGAATCTTGGGATCTGAATCCCAATCCCAGCCTTGAGCACAACTTACCCTCGGTGAGGCTCGCTCCTCTTTTGTAAAATTGGGATAATAATAGGCCTTAGTAGTTGTTGCAAAGGTCACAGTTAGATGATGCACAGAGTCTGGCTCATAGTAATGTTGCATCACCATATAACATCATTCCACAAAGACAACGAAACATAACCTACCATCTATCTGGCAGAGAATGCTCCGTGTTTGCATTTGGATTTGTGGCCATGAGCCAATTTCTGCTACATACTAGGCTTAGTTACCCTTAACCAGACCCTGGAAATATTTCTCTCTGCCCATGAGGAGGGCTGCTATTTGGCTAGTTCCAAGCCAGCACCATTTGTGACCATCAGCTTTTGTACTTTAGTTAAACAGGATGGAGGCTGGAGCCACTGGTCCCCGTGGTCATCTTGTTCTGTAACATGTGGCAGCGGTGTCATCACCAGGATCCGACTCTGCAACTCTCCCAGCCCCCAGATGAATGGGAAGCCATGTGAAGGCGAAGCTCGAGAGACCAAAGCCTGCGAGAAAGCCGCCTGCCCAAGTGAGCGCACGCTGATACACAGCTGGTGCCCTGGCATCTGCGGGTCATGAGGGGGGAAGGCTACTTACTAGGGAAACAAATAGAAGCAAACTCCTGCCTGCTCAGCAGCTGCTTCTAATGGAACAAAAAAAAGACTATCTTACCCTTGTCCCAAATATTCTTTCCATGTGTCAAGGAAACAGAAGTTTCTAGAACACGTTTAGAGGAATCTTGTATGACAGCAGGGATTTTGAAAAGTAACCTTACTTTTGGCATGTGATTCACTCTCTTATAGTCAATGGAGGCTGGGGTCCCTGGTCACCATGGGACATCTGTTCTACCACCTGTGGTGGAGGAGTCCAGAAACGAAGCCGGCTCTGCAACAACCCCACACCCCAGTTTGGAGGCAAGGACTGCTTTGGTGATGTGACAGAAAGCCAGATCTGCAACAAGCAGGACTGTCCAATTGGTGAGTCTTGCAGCCCAGGAACTAATTCCTCCATTTGACTTAATAGTATCACAGTCAGCAGTCAAAGTGGTTCCAACTTTGAATAGTCCTGAGTGGTCTAATTATTCTAAACCACAGATATTGACAGTATAATACCAACACAGTTGAGTTGCATAAACACTCTATCTTACACTGTACTGTTTTCTCATGGCCAGCTTGGTGGTATCAGGAGCTTAGACTAACCATTTGCCCGTCTCTCTCGCCTTGTCTCAGATGGATGTCTGTCCAACCCCTGCTTTGCCGGTGCCAAGTGCACCAGCTACCCTGATGGCAGCTGGAAATGTGGTGCTTGTCCTGCGGGTTACAGTGGAAATGGCATCCAGTGCAAAGATGTTGATGAGGTGAGGAACTGATGGCTCAGAGCTGCATACATCTCAGGAAGTAGCTCACTTCTAGTCATTTTCTTAAATGGTGGCATTTGCTAAACATTAGGCAAACTGTTGTTTCTTCCATAGTGCAAGGAAGTGCCTGATGCCTGCTTCAACCACAACGGAGAGCACAGGTGTAAGAACACAGACCCCGGCTACAACTGCCTGCCCTGTCCACCTCGCTTCACTGGCCCGCAGCCCTTCGGTCGGGGTGTCAAGCATGCCGCTGCCAACAAACAGGTAGAGTAGACTGGATGAGTGGATAGAGGCATGGTGCCCTTACAGAGACAGTGAGGCAAAGGGAGAATGTCATTTCATCAAAAACAAAAAAGGAGGATGAATATGTAATCTAGTTTGCGCCCACCCCATTTGAAAATACTGCTCTAAGTAATTTGTGTGCAGATGAATTGGTCAATGTCTATGTCCTAAGCAATGAAACAAGAAACAGAAAGTAGTGTTAGCTTGTAGCCTGAACATCCTCAGGAGAAAACAGGGAAGGACAAAAGGTAGCCCACAGTCTTTCACATGGAACATCTCCTCATAGATAATAGGGATCTGGAGTCTTCTTTGGAAGTCTCTGGGTTAACCTCGGGATGTTGTACTCTCAGGTGTGCAAGCCCCGCAACCCTTGCACAGACGGAACACACGACTGCAACAAGAACGCCAAGTGCAACTACCTGGGCCATTACAGCGACCCCATGTACCGCTGTGAGTGCAAGCCTGGCTACGCAGGCAATGGCATCATCTGCGGGGAAGACACGGACCTTGACGGCTGGCCCAATGAGGACCTGGTCTGTGTGGCCAATGCAACTTACCACTGCAAAAAGGTAAGTAGTAGCTTCCCTGTGTACCTTATCAGAAGAGCATGCCAAGGAACCTGAAACGTTCAAAGCTTGCAAATGACTGCAAGATTAAAGGCAGAGCAGCACCAGTTCTCTTTGGTTTTACATCACTTGGCACCAACCATGTGAACGGGGAAGCTCCTTTTATGGCTGTGTTCCATAGTCAGTTGTTCTGTCCATACATGTTCACTATGTCACCAAATACCAGCAGAGTATGCCTGTGTTCACAGTATTTATAAAGCCAAGAGCATTTATATACATTATATATATATCCCCAAGAAAAGATTTTATTTTTTTTCACTAAACGCATTAAATATATTCTGTTACAAAGCAACCTTCATCTCTCTCTATTTGGAATGTCTGGATGTGCGCCAAATAAAGGGACTATAGACTGACACTGTAGTATGTGTGCATTCTCTTTCCTAGGATAACTGCCCCAACCTTCCCAACTCAGGACAGGAAGATTATGACAAGGATGGAATTGGGGATGCCTGTGATAATGACGATGACAATGATAAAATCCTAGATGATCGGGTAAAAACAAAACGCTTCCCTTTCTCCTTTCATCTTTCCTATTCAGCAACAGCCTGAAATGCTTTGATTCAAGGAAGTTACAGTGTTATAAAGAAAAATACCAGGCTGATATCTAGGATAATTAGAGAGTATTCATTGTGTTTTCAGTAGTTTGAGAACCTAGGTACTGCCAAGAGAATTGTTAATGACCATTCTGTTTATATCACAGTCTTGGTTTGTTTGAGTTTCCACCCACTCTTTCTTGAGCAAGAAATTATAACATATAAGTAGATGGTACTTTGTCCAGTTATAGTAAAAATGTATTCTGGGCGTACTGAGAACTGAGATGCTAGATAATATTTTATATCTCACTGACTTGCAGCCAACAGGATTCCATTGTTTATTTGTTAATATCAAGGCTTGTAGCTTTGGCCATCATTTTACACTAAATACCCACTAGCTGCTCCTCAGAAACCCTAACAGGGTCATTAGAAGTCGAAACTGACTCAATGGCACTCAACAACAACAATGGTCCACTAAACAGAACATAATGATTACAGACTTTCGCAGTTCCGTATATATTGTGGTTTGAGACTTGAGCCAGTTTCACTGGCAATGTCGTAAAGTGCTCTGTTTCGTCTCTTTACAGGACAACTGTCCATTCCACTACAACCCAGCCCAGTATGACTATGACCGAGATGATGTGGGAGACCGCTGTGACAACTGCCCCTACAACCACAACCCAGACCAGGCTGACACCGACAACAACGGGGAAGGAGATGCCTGTGCGGCAGACATCGATGGTGATGGTAAGAAGCACCCCTTACCTACAGGCAGGCCCCTGGTTAATGGCAGTGGATGGTAACCACCCTGCATAGGGTTTCTGAGGCTGTAAAGCTTTGCGGGAGGAGAAAGCCTTATCTTTTTCCCACAAAGCAGCTGGTGGGTTCTAACTGCTGACTTTGCAGTTAGCAGCCCAGCTTGTAACCATACACCACCAGGGCTCCTAAGTGATGGCCCGCATACTCAGCTTTCAGCATGCTCTAACTTCTCTCCTGTCCTGGCTGTTAGTGTGTGGTTCGGTTGAAATAGTCAAGGGTAGAGATTCAGCTCTTATGTGTCCCTTGACCTCCGCAGGTATCCTCAATGAAAGAGACAACTGCCAGTATGTCTACAATGTTGATCAGCGGGATACTGACATGGATGGGGTTGGAGACCAGTGTGATAACTGCCCCCTGGAACATAATCCAGATCAGGTTGGTGGGCTGCTCCATCTTTCAGGAAAGTGGTCTTTCTAGGCCGTTCTTCTCAGGGTTCACAACTGATACACACATATTTTCATGTACACAGTTTACCTTGTGTGGGCTCTTTATAAAGTAGGTCCTTAGTTCTTTAATATGAAGATCCTGTATCATTAGTCTCGTCTTCAAAAAGACCAATGTGACTTGCTCAGCATGACCTAGCATTGATATTACTTAAGATAAACTATATAGAGAATGAATATGAGTAACAACTCTAGAATAATATTAATCACAGTTAAGACTAAGAACTGGGGGACAAAAATGCTCCTATGATAACCGTCATTATGATAATGAAATAATCGAATTGGTAAGGAAATCATCAAACAAAAAAATACTTTCAGAACCTGGAAAAATCCTGTTTCTTTGTTAACTCTTTACGAGTGTCTGGCATAAGATTCCCTACCCATGCTAGGGAATGCTACCAATAGATATTTGCCAAACAGTTTCCATGGCTGAAAGTATTTCACATTATCATATGAAAAGAAAGATCCAGAAGAAAAGCTTTAAAATTAAATGTCAGTATTGCTGGGGTTTTTTTTTTTCGTTTTTTGTTTGTTTGTTTGTTTTTTGCAGTAGTACATAAACATGAAACTCCAATGGACCATATCAAGTATTGGAAATTTTTCCCTTGTGTAGGACATTAGTTATATTCAACATCAACGTCTTACACTTCAATTTACCCTCCTCTCTGTCTCCTCTTGCAGCTGGACTCTGATTCAGACCGCATTGGAGATACCTGTGACAGCAATGAGGACATTGATGAAGATGGCCACCAGAACAACCTGGATAACTGTCCTTATGTGCCCAATGCCAACCAGGCTGACCACGACAAAGATGGCAAAGGGGATGCCTGTGACCACGATGACGATAATGACGGCATTCCTGATGACAGGGACAACTGCAGACTTGTGCCCAACCCTGACCAGAAGGACTCGGATGGTGAGTCAGTTGGAACACTTTTTAAGAAGAGTTAGTTACTAAACCACATGACTTGGCAAATTCAGGAAATTAACATGAAGCTGAATGCATCTGAGATGAGGCTGACAAGTTTGACAAAACGGTGACTCTCTGATACCAATAAGAGTATTTCCGAAGGTCACACAACTCTTGCTTTTTTTCTGACCTTAGGCGATGGTCGAGGTGATGCTTGCAAAGATGACTTTGACCATGACAATGTGCCAGACATCGATGACATCTGTCCTGAGAATGTAGATATCAGTGAGACCGATTTCCGCCGATTCCAGATGATTCCTCTAGATCCTAAAGGAACATCCCAAAATGATCCTAACTGGGTGGTACGCCATCAGGGTAAAGAGCTTGTCCAGACTGTCAACTGTGATCCGGGGCTTGCTGTAGGTGAGTCGTGAGTTCTGAAAATGAGAAAACTAGTGCATTTGTGGGAAAGAAGCAAATATAAAAGCTGGCAGTTGCATGTATGCATCTTTAGCATAGTCTTTGTGGGTAGTAAGGATGTCCAAGAATGTAACAGAGCTGTCGGTTTTAACCTGTGGTCTGACCTCATCTTCCAGGTTATGATGAGTTTAATGCTGTGGACTTCAGCGGTACTTTCTTCATCAACACTGAAAGAGACGATGACTATGCTGGATTTGTGTTTGGCTACCAGTCCAGCAGCCGCTTCTATGTTGTGATGTGGAAGCAGATCACCCAATCCTACTGGGACAGCCACCCCACAATAGCTCAGGGATACTCAGGCCTTTCTGTGAAAGTTGTGAACTCTACCACGGGGCCTGGCGAGCACTTGCGGAATGCTCTGTGGCACACAGGAAATACCCCTGGCCAGGTAAGGAATCATGTCTTAGAGAAGGGAGAGAGTCCATGGGTGCTTGTTTAACACTGGGGACATTGCTGTTGGCTAAGATTGCCAACGAGGAGTCTTAGATAGAAAGTTTCCTTCATCACCACTAGTAATACTAAGCTCAGCTTCATGAAAACAGAACTGTGTCTGAGAGGGGAGCTAGCTGTGCCCAAGAGTTCCCCTTCAATCCAAGGGTAGTTTTAGTTTTGTCCCTTCTCTGGGACTGCCTTATATGGATGTTTAAGGGCACACCCCAAATGATGGCTGTTTTAGAAAAAATTCTACACTGCAACCCTCTAATTTGGGTCAGCTTGGTGCCTTCCAGGCACCATTTGTGATAGAGCAAAGTATTTATCTTCTCTTGATGGAGCTTTGTTTCACCGTTTCCTTTTTCCTCAGGTACGGACCTTATGGCATGACCCTCGTAACATAGGCTGGAAAGACTTTACCGCCTACAGATGGCGTCTCAGCCACAGGCCAAAGACAGGCTTCATTAGGTAAGACCACGCTAATGACATTTCACTGACAGCCATGCTGATGGGGAAGAAGGACACCAAAGAGGAGGGGTTTCACTAAAGGGATTTTACGTTTTCCCCCCTGCAGAGTGGTGATGTATGAAGGGAAGAAAATCATGGCTGACTCAGGACCCATTTATGACAAAACCTATGCTGGTGGCAGGCTAGGGTTGTTTGTCTTCTCTCAAGAAATGGTATTCTTCTCCGACCTGAAATACGAATGCAGAGGTAGGAGCAATAGTACCGGTTCATGGACAGTCAGCATGTCTGACTCACATGTCAAGAATGCCAATTATGGGCGTCTCATATAAAGACTATTTTAGAGACAGCGTTATTGATACTTTGCTTTGGAGCACACAGTGATAAAAATGAAACAATTCCTATAAAGTGTAGCTTATGAAATTCTGAATCCTTAATATTCATTTACCTAAGCAATCTGTGCTTTTCTTAAAGTGCAGAAGTAAACCACAGGCAAACTCCTGTACAACTAAGACTACAATTCTGACACTTGTCTTTAAAACTGTACATGTTTATAGATCTTAAATTATTGTTTAACAATCTTTACCTATATACAAAGAAGGGCAAGAAGCACTGCCTTCATGTTGGCATGTTAATTTTCACTTTTTAACCTTAGTTTTACTCCCATCTTTCTCACACAATTATTACTTGAGTTCTCATCACGACCAGCCACAAAACAACTACTTAAATGTTGACTGGGCTAAGGCCTGATGCCTCCTAGACCAATCGGAAAAGAAAGACAGTTGATTTTACTTAAACAAACAAAAGAATTAGGAATGTCATCTAAGTAAACCTAAAATTTTTTAAATTAAACTCCCTCAAAACATAGCATACATTCTGGAAGATTACACTGTGTCACTTTCCTGGCATCAGTGTCCGATAATAAGATTCAATGTTAACATGCTTAAACAATCTTAAAATAATGCTTTTGTCATCATGAAAGTAAAGATGTATGTAGGTGGTTATTAACTGATAATAAAATGGCAGTGTCTTTAGAAATGAGTTTGTATTTATGTGCTTATTATGTGTTTATTTATTTAACAGATTCCTAATCATCTAACTGGTGATCAAAAGACTGATCTTAACCAATGCTGGTATTGCACCTTCTGGAACCCTGAGCTCGAGGAAAACCCCAGGATCGCTCCTCCCTTCTTCCTTTTTCTTTCTGCTTGCATCAGCATGGGCTCCTCGGATGTATGACCTGCCTCAAGAAAATGCAGTTTTCAAAAACAGACTTAGCATTCATCTTCCAAGGAATAAGAAGAGTATAAACAATTGCTTTGGAAGCACAAACATCGCCTTGGTTCCATTGGGAAGATGCCTGCTCCACTCTGCTTTCATCAGAACCTGGCGCTATTGTGAGGCCTTGTCTGAGTAGTGGACTCAGCAGCATTTTCAGGCTTGTGAGAGAAGGGAGAGCTTTCACTAGGATTAGGAACCAAAACCACCCCTGACATACTCCCTCAGGAAAAGGGAAAACAGGGGCCAAAGGGGATGGTATTTACCTCCTCCTCCCCCCCCCAAAAAAAAAAAAATTAAAGAATATATGGACGAACTGTTACATGTTCAGTACTAATCATCTTCAGGGGATTGAAAACTATTGTTGGATTTCATGATGCTGACCAATGTTAGCTGATTAACCCACATAACTAGGCACTTAAATAGAAGCAGGGAAGAGAGGAAAAGACTGGCTTCTGGACTTCCTCTCTGGCACCTATTCTTTATGTATCACTTGTGGTGGCCAGAATAGGGAGTCAGAATGAAATCAGTACGACAGCGCTGGCTGCCATGGCCTGGGTACATTGCAGCTGTTAGCTTTATCCCAGATGTAGCTTGTGTAGATGTAGCAGGAAAATGGGAAAACCTACCATCTCAGTGAGCACAAGGCTGTCTCCCAAGGGAGAGGCAGCTGTGCTTAGATTTCTATGGTTAGAAAGGCACAAAACTATCAACTAAAAACATTCCTTTCCTGTTTTTGTTTTTATTTTCTAATTCTCTCTTTTGATTTGTAGTTTTTGTTTGTTTGTTTTGTTTTTGTTTGACAAATGCTTTATTTACAATGTAAGATATTTATTTTTTACCTATTCTGGAGGATCTGACTGAAGGACTATTCATGGAACAGGAAGAAGCGTTAAGGACTATCCATATCATATCATCTTTGTTCCAAGTCTTCATGACTGTAAGATTGTAAATACAGATTATTTATTAACTCTGTTCTACCTGGAATTTAGGTTTTGTATGGAAAGTGTTTGAGGTCAGGTGGTGGAGATTTATCAGCAGATAGCTCCTAAGAATGGCACAAGGTAAAGGAGAGACACAGCTGTCCTCCACTTTGCGCTTAGAGTGAATGATTTAGATTCTTTTTTTTTTTCACTTGTTTGTTTTGTCTTTTCAAATGGAATTAGCTGGTTATACATTTACAAGTACTTTTAGATAACAGTGAAAGCCAGGAGGCCCTTACATACTGTTTTACCCCCAGCCCATTTGCCTATTGCCAGGGAAAAGAAAAGCATATATACTTGTTTTTTTTTCATTTTTCCAAAAGAGAAAAAAAATGATAAAGGTGAAACTTACATACAAATATTACCTCATTTGTTGTGTGACTGAGAAAAGAATTTTTGGATCAAGCAGAAAGAGTTTAAGTGTCTAACAAACTTAAAGCTACTGTAGTACCTTAAAAAAAAAGTCAATGTTGTATATAGTATAAAAATTCTTTGAAGAAAAGAATTCCCAATAAGGAGATAGCATTGAAATGTTAAATACAATTTCTGAAAGTTATGGTTTTTTGTTTTTTTTCCTGTCATCTTGTATGCCATTGCTTTGTTTTTATAAATTATTTTCTCATTGTCATTGGAATAGATATCTCAGATTGTGTAGATATGCTATTTAAATAATTTATCAAGAAATATTGCCTGTAGAGTTAGTATTTCTATTTTTATAAAATATTTGCACACTGAATTGAACAATTGTTGGTTTTTCTTCTTTTTCGCTTTGTTTCGTTTTTTGCTTTTTAACACCCCTAGTTTTTACTATTTGCCAATACCTTTTTCTAGGAATGTGCTTTTTTTTGTACACATTTTTATCCATTTTACATTCTAAAGCCGTGTACATTGTATATTGCTATTTCTTATGTAACAGGAACAACAATAAACCATATGGAAATTTATATTTATACTTACTGTGCCCATGTTTGTTTGTTTTCTACTGGCTTTACTTTATGAGGTATGACTAAATGCCATTCTTAGACTGATACAGCATATATTTAAGTAAACGGAATTACTCAGACCTTGTTCTAGAATACACGTTTGCTGAATTTGTTGAATAAAAGAAACAATAACAAGTGAGCCTAACGTGAAATCCATACAAAGAGAAGACCTCTAAAACATGGGGTCCCCCCCCTAAAGATATGTATGTTTATTAAATGTCCTTTACTGATTCCTTCCCAAAGTTCACTTCTGTTTCTAAGGAGAACAATGAAAACAAAGGGAAAAACAGGTGTTAAACACATGGAATGCTTGGCTCTGGGCTGACAACATGATTGCATGTTGTGGAGATGGTATATTTAATGGAGGAATTGTGCTTGAAATGTTGTGCCAAATGTAAGTATCACATTTGGAGGAAAATAAATAATACCTTTTATTAATGATCCAAAACAAGTGCATAGAGAAATGCAGAATTTGGACTGAATCCTAGAAAGAAAGGAAAAAAAAAAAAAAGTCCAAGTTTTAGATTAAGGAGACCTTGAATTTCTGATGGTGTGTTGCTGTAAGATAAGAAATGGACTACTAACTGCAAAGTTGGCAGTTCAAACCCACCAGCTGCTCCTATGAAACCCTATAAAGGGTCACTATGAGTTGGAACTGACTCCATGGCACTTAATATAGAACATGAACAATAAATTTCTAGTACTTGTTAAGTGCCGTTGAGTTGGTTCCTACTCATAGCAACCTGGTGTAGGGTTTCCTAGGAGTGAACGGTGGCTTTGAATGACCAACCTAGAAGTTCAAACCAACCTGCAGTCCAGAGCATGATCCTGCAGCACCAGTTTTACAAGCAGATAAAAGCCTCTGGTTTTAAGGTCCATCAAACACTGGAAAAGACTACTGAGTAAGTAAGCATTCTCTTCCCTTGTTGATTTTTCTCTATTTCTCTCAGAACGCTTGTCTGGGGTAGCATGATCATAGGCAAATACAAATTGTCAAGTCATTGTATCATGCTCAGGTGAAGAAGCAAGGGTTAGGAAGTGTTACAGCGGTTGTAGAATTTGGCGAACTGAATTCAAGAAGATAATATAGGAAACAACATCATTCGGTCCCCAAACAGTTCAACCTGTGAAGGTCTGAGAGAGAACTCAAAATTGCTTTTAGACGGCAGAACAGAATTGACTGAAAATACCAAGATGGGACAGAAAAAGGATATGGCACCAGAATTTTTTTTTTTTTTTTTTGCTTCTGGGCATGTTTCATACTCACTCAGAAGGTGACCTTTAAATCAGTAGGCTACAGTGAAATAAAAGACTTGTTACAAATTAACACCACCTCACTGAGGTGACTGAAGTTTTCCTCTGACAAGAGTTTATTGTCATGTGTTTCAGGGAGAGTTACACTGAAGTGCAGTAAACCTTAGATCCTACAGGAATTTACAACAAGGTGGTGCCAGTCATTTCCTAAGTATTATAGTAGAAAAACCTCAAATTATAAACCCCCAAATTCATTCCCAACATGAATGAGCTCTTTTTCTTACAGAGCTTTTCTTCCGTATCATATTTGAGGGTACTGGGAGCAGAGGGAAACTTAAAAAAAATTCTTACTATTTTTATAAGACCACTTTCTCTTAAATCAGGGTGAGTTTTTATTTTGTAATCCGGGCTTTTGTGTTGAATTATATATACACTTTGCCAGTCCTGTTTAGAGTGACCCTTAGTTGGCATATTTTAGAATGGTATCAACTCTCTAAATACAAAATTCATTACTTAAGATCACTCTGTTTTCCTTCTCTTCCTCTAAACTACGCCCCCAAATACCACTGTAGAAACAGCCAATATAAAGCCATACTGTAAGTCAGTCCTTAGCAGTGCTAGTATGAAATCCTTTTCCATATCAGTTGTTCTGAGAGCAGTTGTCTCTTAACAGAGCGACTACCTCCAAGGCTAGTAAGTTCATTGCTCTCTCTTTCCCTCTCTTTATCATTCTCTCTCTCATTAACACACACACACACACACCAAACTTCCAGGGATGCATTAGAAAGCTGAGCTCCTTGAAAGGCTGGTGGGCAATGCAGCCTCCTTTCTGTCCCCATTCTAAATTCCCACCCATAGCACACACTCCGAAACCTGACAACATACAGGAGTGTCACATGTCCTTCCTACCAGTCTGAAATCAGAACTGCTGCTGATCTTCCATAAGGACACTCTAGGTGTCAAGATCAATTACAATGACAGTGAGGCTCACTGACCTCAGCATAAGTAAGAAACTGAAATAGACAATCAACTTGCCTATGGACACCCCTTGAAAGTAGTAGCTATAGAATCCCTCATGAAAAAGTCAAGGAAATTTGATGTGAGTAGTCGTTAATGTTATCCAATACGAGCAGATAGACATGGAGCCACAAAAATGAATAATGGTATAATACAGTACTCTGAATTTCATGAAAGGCAGCGTAACTGTCAGCTCGTCTTTGAACTAGAAATAAATTGAACTTCTAGTTCTAAACATAATTCATCTTACAGAGAGTTGACAACATTTTCTCAAGTCTAGGTTACTGACTTATAACTAGACAAACCTCTCTTTTTAAATAGTACAGAAGAAACAAGCAATATAGATAGATATAGATAGATAGATGCATAGATAGATAGACAGATAGGCAGGTATACACACACACACACACATATATATATATATATATATATATATATAGAGAGAGAGAGAGAGAGAGAGAGAGAGAGAGAGAGAGAGAGAGAGATTTGCTGTATTCTGAAAGACTCAAACTCTGAAGGAAGATAAATTGAAATTAATTTGTGAAATAATTCAAACTCCTACGTAAGAAAACTCTCACTGCTAATAAGGTAGTACAGGCTATCCTAACATTGCTTTGCTAAGAAAATTCATTTATTCCAAAGACAAGGTGTACTTACTTAACAAGCATTAGAAGAAAAGGAGGAAAAGCCAGCCCAAAACAAAAGCCATGCTAAGCGCAATCTGTCTGAACCACAATGAGGTTAAAATATATAAAATCAAATACAAAACAATCATAGCTTGTTTCAACAACACAACTTCAGTTCGTTTTAACACAGCACACACTCATTAAAATGTTCATTTCTATAATATATCCCTGCTGTCATAAAATTAGAAATAAAAAACAATTTTCTAAGAGTTTCAAGAAAGAAAAGCCATTAAGTAATTACCTGATAAGTCTCAAACATCAAGGAAATGTAATCCACAGAAAGGGAATTCAAATGACAAAACCATTACCTGAGGAATGTTCAATAACAATGAATTCAAAGAGTTCAGGGGAAGATAGAAATAATATAATTTACCAACTTTCACAAAAGGACCTCCAGCAAGGTTTTGCTGAATTAAGATTCTTGACATTCTTCTGTTACATCTTCGATCTCCAGTTCATCTGTACATACAAACAATACCCACAGTTAGTAGACAACCAGACAAGTGTACGTAACTAAAAAAATAGTTCAGCTTATAAAAACATCGAGCCCTTCTACCCATAAAACAATAATCACGTGATTGTATACCATCCAGTCAGTTCTGAATTTTAGCAAACCTGTATACAGTTTCCCAGAAGGTAGGTTTGAACTGCTGACCTTGAGGTTACCAGTCCAGCGGAGGCTTCAAAAAGTTTATGGGAAGATGAAATTATCTTTTCATTCTATTTTTCCATGAATTTTTGAAGCTCCCTTGTATTGATTGTTCACCTTAAACGGCATATAAACTTTATAAGAAAAAATGCAAAAGATAAAGTGCTTGCCTTCATTGAGTTTACACTCAAGGAAAAACTTAGGGAGTTTGAAAGCTAAAATGGATATGATTTTGGAAATAGAAATTAAAATCACTTTTTGACTTTGTATTGAATTTCTGAGTGGTGGTGGTTATGTGCTGTCAGGTAGGTTCGACTCATAGCGATCTTGTATAGGGTTTCCGAGGCAGTAAATCTTTACAGCAGCAGAAAGCCTCATGTTTCTCCCACAGGACAGCTGGTAGATTCGAACTGCTGACCTTGTGATTTGCAGCCCAACCCCTATGCTACCAAGCCTCCTAACTTTCTGGGAAGCAGGGTGAATTCCAAAGTCAATGTTACATTTATGGCAGATAAACACGGTTTGTCTCTCATTTCTTCATTGTGAAAGAAAAATGATGACGCTAATAGAAGTGGAATGGAGATGTTGTTCTAGGCTAGTCAAAGGCTATCCGAAAAGGCAGAGCTGATGGCAGAACCAAATAAAAGACGCCAATAGAAAAGAATAAGGAGAAATGATCCCTGATAATCTGCCTGGTGGGAATGTAAAATGGTACAGCCCATTTTTTAAACCAATCTGGTGGTTCGTCAGAAGTTTGCCATAAGCCTGGCAATTCTCCTCCTGGGTGTCCACACAAAAACCTATACGCAACTGTTCACACAACATTACCCATACTGGCTCAAAAGTGAACAGAACCAAAATGTCCACTGACTGATGAGCAAATCAATAAAATGTGTTGTATTCAAATGGGATATTATTCAGAAATAAAAAAGAATGAGGTACTGATAAATGCTACAACATAGATGAGCTTTCCAGTCCCTGGAGAAGGACATCATGCTTGGTCAAGTGGAGGGTCAGTGAAAAAGAGGAAGACCCCCGAGAAAAAGATGGATTGGCACAGTGGCAGCAGCAATGGGCTCAAGCATAGCAGTGCTTGTGAGGTTGGCATAGGACCAGACAGTGTTTCGTTCTGTTATGCATAAGGTTTCTATGAGTTGGTACTGACTCAACGGCACCTAACAACAACAGATGAACTTTGAAAACATGTTAGGTCTAAGAAGTCAGTCACAAAAGGTCACATAATAAATGATTCTATTTATATGAAATATTCCAAATAGGCAAATCCATGGAGACAGAAAGTAAATTAGTGTCTGGCTAGAGCTGGGCAGTTGAGAGGAATGGGGAGTCACTACTAATGGGTGCA